CTTACAATTCACAACTAAATTGAATCCAAGTCCCTTAATATTTGAATCACACGATTTACACTTTATAATACTGCTTAAAGTTGTAAACAGTGATACAAATTCAATTATTTTGTATCCACAGATTTATTATTATGCCCGAAAATAAGTCGTTTTAAAGGACCTTTTGTATTTTATTTCTAAGACTTCAAACTACTATTTGAAACAAAACGAAAAAAAAAAATCTATTTTATGAAAATTTCAAACTGTCTTGGCTCTTTAAGGAAAGATGGTGTTGGATGTACGAGTGGAATTGGAAATAACAAATTTTTGATTGGGGAAAATGTAGATATACAGTCTATGACATTGCGAAGCATTACTACTAAGATAAAGGTAAAATCAACCATGTGCAATACAATAAATCTTAAAGTATACAATCAGGAATGAATAGAAATAATAATTTACACATTTTGTATCAGATATTGTATTTATTAGATTAGTTTATATTTTTCCGCATTTTGAAAAGAATGCGTTTGTACGTGTAAACTTTCAAGAAATTATGTATGAAAATTGTCAGATTTAAATGGAGGTAAAAATATTCAGTGAAACGATCAGCGAAATTAGTAAGTGGTAAGCAATTATTATGTCTAATTATTACCATTTATCGTTATCCTAAACTGTTGTCATTTATGATAATTTCTAAAATGGTAACTCTACCAGAGAGCTATGTGTGCCGAAAGAAGCTTCCAATTGTTAAATAACAAATTGTCTATTTCGCAACGAAATAGTTGCACACAGCCAGTTCTCAAATATGGTTTTCTGGTCGAGTCACGTAACTCTTGGCACGTGAAAGTGTATACATAATTTGTGACCTGATCTATGAACTACGCCACGGGTAATAAATCGCATTACGTACTAGCCATATCGCATCGCATATTATGTTATTTTACATTTTTTTGTCGATTACTTAAATATAATTTAAATCTTCGTATAACACTAATGACATATATTTCTATCAAATTAACTCTGTAGAAATCGAATGTGATAATTATAAAGGAGGCAAAGTCTATTTATGAATAAATGAACTCTTTGTTTAGATAATCAAGTGATTCTCCATTATTTATCGCTAGTACGCATAATCGTTACTTATGCATGTAAAATAAAATTTGAAAAGTTAAATTAAAATTATTAGAAAAAATTAAATAAGAATTTAAGAAATTAATAAAATTTAAATTTTTATAATGATAAATCTTTAAATCTCTTTGAGAAACGAAAAAGTACAAGTTTCTACTCTAAGCCCTGTATATACTTAATTTTTGACAATTTTTGAACAAGAAAAACAAATTTATCACCTTTAAGACTTGTATTTGCAGATATCAAACGTATAATCATAAAATAGAAGCGAATACGATATATATCTAAATTCAAGTAATTAATTCGTCAAGTCACGAATAATCTCTTCAAAATGAAACTGGGACAAAAATATTAGATGGGAACAGAGGCGTCGTGTTACAATTATGTCAGTAATATGATAAAACAACACGAACAGTTTGCAACTCGTGCAACGTGTTACGTATCAGCTGAAGAGTGAATATGCATGTCGAATCTTTTCTTTCGAACCATGACCGATTCCCAAGCAAATATTAATTTTACAAAAAAAAAAAAAAAAAAGAAAGTGCACACACTCCACTAAATTTTCACGAGGAGAATATCAGTCTTTTCCCTGTTACGTAAACAAAAAAAGAGAAAAGGACAGAACAGCGCATAGTCCACTAAATCTTCGTTTGTAGAATGGCAAATAGAAAACGTCTCCACCTGTGTGCATTGTGTACACCGAGGTATATCTATACGCAGAAGTTTCCGCATCGGCGAGCATGCAACGCGAGTCCACGCTCTAGCTACGACCAGGAAGGCGTAATTGCCCGAAAAGAGAAAGAGGAAGAAGGAGAGGAATACACGGTGGAAAGGATGCGTCCTTCGGGTACCATTGCACGCGACGCAACTCGGAGTACGAAGAATCTTTCGTTCCTCGAACATTGTGAAACGTTTCGAATAAAGATTTTCACGTGCGAAGTCAGCGTTCTACGCGGTGTGATATCATTGTGATGCAACGATCTTGCTGATTAAGCTTTAACTGGTATCGTTGAGCGTCGTCGTTGGTGATTTTCAATCAAGTTTGAATTTAAAATTTAGTCAAGTTTGTTTTGTTATTTACGTTTGCACGACGAATGCTGCTCAACGTGTGAAATAAAAGTCAAGAATGCTACTATAGAAATGTAAAACTCAGTCAGATTGAAATTGAAATATCCTGGAATTACGTAACTTGACTTCGTTGACGAATCTCCTGTGGGCTGTGTCGGGCTCTTATCTTTTTAATTTCATCTTCTGAGAATTTCAAAGTTAAAGTGTAATCTTCCACAGTTGTGGTAACAATTATCGACGTGAGGAGGATAAAATTTCAAAGACGAAATAAAAATAGTTAGTGTACGTGCAACCTGTTAAACAAAGCATTGGATTGCGGATGTTTATGCATTTATACACAATGTAAAAGTGTAAAATGGCATAGTTCAAAAATGTGCAATGTACCTAATATACAGAGTGTTTCAGGACAGGTGCAGTTGAATCTAAGTGGAAAAATGAAAAGGAAGGAATAAAATTTGGAAATTTTTCAGGTATACGTGAATGTAATTATTTAACGCGGCAGAAAAAGAAATAATTAACAGGGTGTTATTCTACGTACGAAAATAAGTAAGAAATTTAGAATGAAATTTTTCTGCGGGATGCTTTGTTTTCGAGAAAATCAAATTTGAAAATTTAACAAGTATGATAAATGTTCAAACTCGATTTTCTCGAGAACGAAGGCTTTAATGAAAAAATTTTGTTCTTTCTTTTCGACTCATTTTCTCGCGTAGTATCACTTCTCACTCGGTTGTACCCTACTTTCTGTATAATACTCGATATATTAGATCAGGCGAATTATTAAAATTTTTCAGTTACACTCCTAAAACTATAAACATAAATTTTCACATAAACATTCTGTTCAGTACGCTATTTATACCATAACTCTGTTTACTTGTTGAGAGCAAATAGTTTATAAAAAAGTGCTCCGAAGTTTAGTGTTCAAACTTTGCCAGCGTGCTCTACAGATAAAAATAAGATTAAAATGTCATGCAGCTCATCAATGTCCGTGGATGCTTCGTTAAAAAGTTATGACAAAAACATGAAACGCGAAGCTATACGTAAAATGTGTTGCATTCGTCGATGCAAAATTCAAATTCGAAATGTTGAATTTATCGTGGATCAAATTTCACATGGGCTTCATTGAATTTCTTCATTTGAATTTCACACGCAGTTCTGAGTTTCAGTTCCGTTCATTTCGAGTAAATATTTTCTGTACTGTGAACTTTCAGTTCTGAAGATAACGAACGTTTTTTCCATAAGTAGAAATCTGAAGATTATAAGCTCTGGTGACCCGGAGGGACCAGGAAATTGCTTCCTCTCGACTAATTCATCGTTGAAATTGCGTTCGTATCGATCGGACTTCATATTTCTGTTACAATTTTTTAACGAGGCATTTATGGATTTTTTTTTTTTCTTTGTCACATTTCAATTCTAGTTTTACCTGTAGCGGAACACAAACTTCGGAACACCCTGTACATTTAATGTTTATACGTGCAACGGAAGTCTCTTCCATCAGTCATTTTTCTGTTCGTTTAATAGAAGTTCAGGTTCAAATAGTTGATTTAATTGGCCATTGACTGATTGTACATTTGATTCAAATAAACGAGGTTCTTCGAAGCTACGCGAAACACACGCACACGTTACAATCTATCGCATCCGGTTTAAATCGCAGTAATATTCATACCATCGCTGTTATCGTCCCTCTTCCGTATCATTACGACCGATTCTCTAGGATGAGCCAGCGAATAGCGTAAAATTGCAATGAATGACACTTGCAAAAAAAAAAAAAAAGAAAAAGAAAAAGAGAAAATAAACGAACAAAGTCGTACGAGTGACTTGAAAAAATCGTCGAAAAGAAAATTATCGTCCTTGAAAATTATCGAGAAATGATCCAGTTGGCAGAGCGGAGAGAATCTCGATAGAGCTCACAATAAAATAATTACGTTGCTTTCGACAGCGTAGAGGATGGGAGGGAGAACGATTATAAACGTTTTAAAGGAGAACGCACGCTTCGTTCATCGAATTTTCGCGAAGTTCGCAGAGTTCTTCAGTAGGAAACCACTTTTGACCGACGAGTGAATCACAATCGCGATTAAAACTATTTTCTGTTGCATTTATCGAGGAATTATTCAGTCGACGTGAATAATTATCATCGCGATCGTGCGTGGTCAGTAGTTATTGACGCGGATGTATTCGTGGAAAAACCGTCGTCCTACTTTCTAGCTTTTCGTTTGTCATACCTAACAGTTCCACTTGAAATTATAGTTTCTGTGAGAACGTCATGGAATATAATAAATTACCGTTTATTGTGAAAATATAACAGAAGAACCGAGGGAAGGTGAAAATGGAAAAGGAAACGGAGAGAAACACGGAAGTGGAACGTCAGTTGTTGAAGATTATTATTGTTTCATCCTGTTTGTTGTTGTTTGATCAATGGCTCGTGAGGAATTTTTATACAAAATATTCCGAAATTTCATCGAACAGTACGACGAAACATGGATTCTATTCCGATTTATTCATAAAGTTTGAAAATCGCTAATTCTATTCATAAAGTTTGACAGTTGGTAAAAATTGAAGTTCCATGTTGCTTTTATTTTTGTAATTATTTTCATTGCACTGTAATAAGTATCACGAACAGACATCCTGATTAATAACTAAATTATATGAAACTTCGAAATATTTTATCCAAGGCGCAGAAATTTTCTGTGACAATTTCTCGAGATATTTTCGTGAGCCACTGTATCATATTAAATTCTTATGTCACGCGAATTTCAGCAACTTGAGTCAATACTATGTACAACAGGCACGTGTATATTTTTGCATGTACGTAATATGCATTGCAGGACTCACGTTCACCGACATGAAGGATTTTCCCTCCTTCAAATTCGGCAACTACACTTACGCAATCGAGATGGACCCACTTAGCCCGGAGTTTCAGGAAGTCGCGAGAAAGGAACTTCGTGAAACACCGGAACTTCAAAAGGAAGCGATCGCCAGACTTAGAGAATTATTGAAAGGTAAAATTTGTTCGACGAATATATATCGGTGAATTGAGAACCACTTGAATTAACAACGATATATCGTTGTCGACTACGTTAATTTAGTCTTCCTTCATTTCTTTTGTTTCTATTTACAGCTCCTTTTTGAATTTTGTAATTGTCTTTCGCAGAATTTTCGTACCCTTTTCCCCCCAAATCCGTATTTTAAATTAGAAGGGTTAAAAGTGTCAAATTTAAATACGATACGATGTTTGTTTTCCGAAATTGTGTTTAACATCTCCGATTTAAAGTCCAAAGACTTTATTGATAAAACTTGTATTGATTCTCGAATTTATAATCGTATCTCATTGTTAGAGTGCGGACGTTCATGCAAATTCACAATTTTATGTATGTAATTAAAAAACTGAGTAAAACGGACATACGATTGCGTAGCTTGCTTTATATAATTTTCGACATTACGCACACTCTTGTGCATCAAATTTCCTCACCACTGGGTTTCGCATAAATGCATGAAAACCCCGCAGTCTACTCATTACAATGCTAATGAAATTTCAAGAAGTTTTGTTGAACGCGCGTTATACGTATTCATAAAATTTCTCTATGGTAAAAGTTTGAATGCTTCCGTCAGCGAGTGTAGGTATATTCCGCGATAGAATATCGTGAAAATCGTTCCTTCTGTCCCCTCGCGTATTTTATACACCTAATTGCAACATCATTGCATTTCCCATAGAACGTGCAAAATTCTATTTTATTCTTATTATCACTAATCTTAAAATTCTACAAACACCATT